ATATAAAAAAATGTAAATTGCATTCTCCCTCATTTGGTGAGCTTTTTCTTGGGGGGTCTGTATGTTGTTTGGCTTGATGTTTCCTTTAATTATATAATCTTTTGACAGACATCGAGGCAAGGCTTGTATGCAGTGAGCAAAATCACATCTCTCCGGTGAATATAGGTCACATGACCGTACACATGAATGGCCCTCTTTGCGAATGCGGAAGCCGTGGATGTGTTAATTGTTACAGCTCCGAGAGGGCGCTACTCGCCGCTTCAGCAAAGAACTTGCAAGGTAGTAAGGAGATCATTTTCTTTCGTTTTTGTGTCATGATGGTTCGTTCTTACTTATATGACGTAACTTATTTAAATTCTACCAATGTCATTTCATTACAGAAGAGAATACAACTATAAACGGGGGAGAAAGAAACGAAGCAGACAGTTTACGTGACCTTGTCCTTGCAGCCAAGACTGGGAACATTGTAGCCCAGGAGATACTTAATAGCGGTAAGAGGGTTTGTCATTAGAAAGTTTGATGGTTTATTTTGAAAGAAATATTCTACAGATTATCTTGCAAGTGTTCCCACACGGGTCTACACAATTGCTTCTTGCTTCCTTGCTTAATACTCATACTTACTGTGAAAGGTTTCTTTGAGGAAACTATAAGTGGGGCATCTCTAAACAAGTGGATATTTACTACACGAGTCAAGAGTTTGACATGTTATTTCACTTGAATGGACCCATTTCACGACTTTCAAAACGTAACTAAAACGTAATTGGGAGCGCAAATTTAACATTTCACATAAATGACTGTGAACATTATCGGCAGTCGTCACGCTGCCCATGTGCTACATCTGGGTTGATAAACATTGATTTGCCCACAATGCGCTCTTTAATCACAAGTATGAGGTTTGACCTGGGCGCGATTTGCACTGAATACCACCGGTGAGTCCTTCGATACCCCCAAATCACCTAAAAATTAACTAATTAAAGCTTGGAAACGTCTCAGTTTGTACTCGTTGATCTACACAACAGTCAAAGTCGCCATCTTTATTTATATGAGACTTATATACCCCGCGCATGCGTGTTTTGGAACCAACGTTAAATGTTAAAAGTTCTGGCGATACATTGGTAACATGGTTGCTAATTTTAGACTAAATTCAATCTGTGTCATTTACATTTGTAAAAGTCACAACATATTAAGGCATTGACGTGTTTTGAAATTGTCAGCTATGATGTTAAAAGTTTTTCCTGCTTGCATGGACCAATCAGACTACTACTAACAAAATATGAAGATACAGAATATAATACTCTCTTCTGTTTAACCATTTACTTAATCATGATGCGGAGGTGAGATAGACATTATTTGATTTTCATTATTGTCTTTAATACATTTCCATTATGACGTCACTCACACAGGTGCTGATGCTTTAATATGTGCTATGAAAAACATATTAGCAGGCAGACGCATCTCCAGTATCATCTTACACGGTTACCTGGCAACGGCATACATCCAGAAAACAAAAGATGCGATGAAGAAAACATTCCACGGGAAAGTAGATGTTCGAATGGCAGAAGTGACAGAACCTACACTGAGAGGAGTAGCGGCAATCGTTATGAATTCGATGAAAAAAATCAAAAGCACGGATAGTAAAAGAGAACACATGTAATTTTTGTAAGACTGTATTTCCGGCATCCCACACTTATTTCTCTAAATCATTTCACCGTCTCTGTGAATAGCAATTCAAACTAGTGTTTTGGGTGTCCTTTGCATCTAAATGAAATTACATGTTTGGAATACAATATGTGTGAAAATGTGATAATCCATAGTCCACCTGCTATTTATTTAATTGATTGTATGTCCTTATGTGAATGTTTATATTGCGTATTGTGTGAAAGACGCGGACCGAACATCGATTTGATTTTGAACTCGAATTTCTTTTTTTCATAGCACAAAGTCGAAATGCCGATCTTTGAAATGGGAATATTGCATTTACTTCACCAAAATTGACCACCATGAAATGTGCACAGCACATTATTAAGCATTGAAAAATCCCCCAAAATACTTTCGCATTTGTCGAATCGATGTTTGACGCCACTACGATGCTATGACCTTTGTTTGTCCTGTTTTAACGTTCGATTTCATGCATAACACGGGATCTCGCATTGAACGTAAAATGGTCTATTTATACTGTTAAGCTTTTATTAGTAACTGGTTTATATGCTCACTACTATTTACAAGATTCTATGGGGTTTTGATGACTTGATTTTTATATTATCTTTTTTTGGATTATCTCACATATTTACATACTCGATTAACTTTACATTAAATAAAGTCGAATTTATATCTGTATATTTGAATTCCTGCATGCTATGCACTTATTTAAATGATTATTTAGTCTGTACTGTAAGACATTTTATGAAAGTGAACATATCATCCCCATTTTTATTGAGGTGAGGTCACTTTATGTTTTGAAATTGGCTTGTTACCAGCCTCGTCCACTCTCAAGTGACCAATTGTTGTGGTCATACATAAGGCTTGTTTGTAGTTTTAGGCTTTATTCGTTATACTGTTACCATAGCGACATCACATACGCACTTTTAGTTCACACTATTGTCTATAATCAACAACTTGCAAGTTTAGGGTGGAGATTATAAACATATATTACAGGAATTTGATAAATAAATTGATTACTAATTGTATTTAGTATTAGCAACTTTGCAAAGCTTTAACCGCGAGACACATCTCTGGTAATCACGTGATCGTGCCAACGACTTCAGCGATTGGCTGTTCGCATTATAACTGTGTCACACCTAAGAGATTTTTGGGATAGAGAGTTGGTAACACCCTTGGAGGGTTACCTCAGCTGACAGTTTGGATGAATAAAGCTGGACTATTTGTAATGAACTTATGTGTATTCCTTTGGGTCAAATCTAATATCTGTACATGTGAGTGTTATAAGCTGAGTAAGTCACAGTTCCCCGAACCCAATACTTACTTACCCAATACTTACTTACACAATACTTACACTTGTACTTTGCTTACCTGGTAACCATTTCTATTTTTCACAGGGAATGCATGTGTTTCAATAAATTAAAAATTCAGATAAATCTTATATTCTTGTTTCCAGTTTAATTATTTGCTCATTGTATCATTCTAATTTAATATGTATTTTGTTAATTAGTCCCCGTTCGGACGTAGTCCGAAAACTGGGACTTATGTTTTGCCCTGTGTGTGTGCGTCCGTCCGTCCGTGCGTGCGCGTGCGTGCGTGATCACCTTTATCTCGAACATGCATGGGCCGATTAAGTTCAAACTTCACTCATACATCACACATTATATGGGACATATGCACATGCATTTTTTTCATGATCCGATTAACGATGGTCGAATAGCAGCTATTTTAAGGCCGCAAATGCATCAAAATCACACATTTTCACCATTCCGGACCTGGATCTCAGTTATGCATGGACGGATTTTGTTCAAATTTGGTTCATACATTAAACATAATAGGACATTGATGCACATAATTTTTTTGGATCGGGTTTGAAATGGCCGACTGGCGGCCATTGTGTTTTAAAGAATTCAGTTCTGGATCCGTATCTGAGACATGCTTGGATTGATCGAGTTCAAACTTCACACACACAAGGTACATCATGTCACAAATATGTATGTGCATTTGTTTCATGATCCGATTAACGATTGCCGAATAGCCGCTATTTTAAGGCCGAAAATGCATCAAAATCACACATTTTCACCATTCCGGACCCGGATCTCAGTTATGCATGGACGGATTTTGTTCAAATTTGGTTCATACATTAAACATAAGAGGACCTTGATGCACGTCATTTTTTTGGATCGGGTTTGAAATGGCCGACTGGCGGCCATTTTGTTTTAAAGAATTCAGTTCTGGATCCGTATCTGAGACATGCTTGGATTGATCGAGTTCAAACTTCACACACACAAGGTACATCATGTCACAAATATGTATGTGCATTTGTTTCATGATCTCATTAATGATAGCCAAATGGCGGCCGCTTTAAGGCCGAAAATGCATCGAAATCACACATTTTCACCATTCCGGACCCGGATCTCAGTTATGCATGGACGGATTTCGTTCAAATTTGGTACATACATTAAACATAATAGCACCTTGATGCACGTCATTTTTTTTTAGGATCAAGTTTGAAATGGCCGACTGGCGGCCATTTTGTTTTAAAGAATTCAGTTCTGGATCCGTATCCGAGACATGTCAGGATTGATCAAGTTCAAACTTCACACACACAAGGTACATCATGTCAAAAATATGTATGTGCATTTGTTTCATGATCTCATTAACGATAGCCAAATGGCGGCCGCTTTAAGGCCGAAAGTGCATTGAAATCCCACATTTTCACCATCCCGGACCCGGATCTCAGTTATGCATGGACGGATTTTGTTCAAATTTGGTACATACATTAAACATAATAGGACCTTGATGCACGTCATTTTTCTTTCGGATCAAGTTCGAAATGGCCGACTGGCGGCCATTTTGTTTTAAAGAATTCAGTTCTGGATCCGTATCCGAGACATGTCTGGATTGATCAAGTTCAAACTTCACACACACATGGTACATCATGTCACAAATAGATATGTGCATTTGTTTCATGATCTGTTTAACAATAGCTGAATGATGGCCATTTTAAGGCCGAAAATGCATCAAAATCACGTATTTTCACAATTCCGGAACCGGATCTCAGTCATGCATGGATGGATTTTGTTCAGATTTAGTACAATGTGTTGTACATATGCAGGTGCATTTCGGTCATGATCTGCTTTGAATGTATATGTCACTCAAATATGAACGGAACGGGGACGTGTCATTGACAATGACTTGTTTGTACTGTCTTGGCTTATTTAATGTCCACCCATCTCGAATAACTTTAATTAACTGTTTTTAAATCATCATTACACAGGCTTTCTAAATGGTTTTTCTTCTCAATAGATTTTAACATTTTCATTAAAGGTCACCGCAGTTATTTGAGGAAACTAAAGTTAAGCCAACCCACAGTTTCTTGTTGAAGGACTGTGGCCAATCACAATTGAGTATAGTAAACTAAACACAATAATATTTTGGATGCACGTCACCTTGCACTCATCGGAGAAACACATGATGATTTGCAAACTGTCTTGACAAACTATCCGAATTTGTAATAAGTGGAATCTGGAAATAAATATAAAATATGACGAAAGCACACAACAATGGAAATAGAGTTGTAAAACATCTTAACTTTACAATTAATTATATCAGGGTAACATCTGTTGGAACGATTCTATGACATCATATAGAAAGATTCTGTGACATCATATGGGAAGATTCTGTGACATCATATAGAAAGATTCTGTGACATATAGAAAGATTCTGTGACATATGGGAAGGATTCTGTGACATCATATAGAAAGATTCTGTGACATATGGGAAGGATTCTGTGACATCAGATGGAAAGATTCTGTGACATCAGATGCAAATATTCTGTGACATCAGATGGAAAGTTTCTGTGATATCAGATGGAAAGATTCTGTGATATCAGATGGAAAGATTCTGTGACATCAGATGGAAAGATTCTGTGACATCAGATGGAAAGATTCTGTGACATCAGATGGAAAGATTCTGTGACATCAGATGGAAAGATTCTGTGACATCAGATGGAAAGATTCTGTTGAGACATCAGATGGAAAGATTCTGTCGAGACATCAGATGGAAAGATTCTGTCGAGACATCAGATGGAAAGATTCTGTCGAGACATCAGATGGAAAGATTCTGTCGAGACATCAGATGGAAAAATTCTGTTGAGACATCATATGGAAAGATTCTGTCAAGACATCAGATGGAAAGATTCTGTCGAGACATCATATAGAAAGATTCTGTCGAGACATCATATAGAAAGATTCCTGACGAGACATCATATAGAAAGATTCTGTCGAGACATCATATAGAAAGATTCTGTCGAGACATCATATAGAAAGATTCTGTTGAGACATCAGTTGGAAAGATTCTATGACATCAGATGGAAAGATTCTATGACATCAGATAGAAAGATTCTGTTGAGTCATCATATAGAAAGATTCCATACATGAGTTGGTGAATACACTACATAGTTTGTAATTTCATTCAGCTTATTTCAGTCATAATTCAAGAGTAATAATATAGAGAATATGGCAAATTATAATTTTTCTGTAATATTCTGGTGTAATCGATAATTATGAAAATTATTTATGGGTGCACAGGGAATACATTCGTTGTGAAATATTCTTAATATAAATTTCTGAATTACCTTGTCAAAATCAGTTTTCAGGGTCTTTCTTCCCAAAACGAAAGAATTTCACAATGTCGAATACATGTCTTTATCGTAGTGTTATTCTCTGTATTCACTTAAAAAAACAATGTTGCCAATTTATTATACATTCAACGAAAATCGGGACAACAGAAATCGTCATGATCCTAATGTCCTGCGTTCAAAAACAGTTTGAGTCACCTTGGTAGACCAAAAAAGACAGACCAACTTCAATGAATTTTCATTAAAACATGAATGAGGACATGATTCAGTCATGCATATGTTCCCCCGAAACACCATGTGTTGGGTTTTCTCACTGCTTATGGCAAATTTAATTGCCTCAACTATTCACCTGATTAGTCATTGACAGTTTGTAGGTTTGTATTGTTTTTCTCCCTCATAACACAGAATTATTAGCTACATGACATGGAAATAGATAATTCGCGAATCACCTGAATTTCACATCACCTGTCGGAGGCTAGGCCGAGCAACAAACCATGCAGCTTTCAGTGTACCTAGGCAGGGTTCATGCAGGTTTTTTCAAAGTTTAGCACAGCTGAGAGAAATCGTTGCTTGTCGATCACCATCCTGCATCAGAAAAGTTTTTAATATCACTTTGAGTTTCTAATTCTATGTTAAATCTATTGCCATAGAAACCCAGAGGACCACATTTTTCGAGATGTGCACATT